CAAAACGAAGGTGAAGATTCTTTTGAGACCACTTTTGACATGACTGTACCTCCTGGCATTAATTATGTAAAAATAGAAAGAGTAGATGATAATGAAAACGATATACCTGTACAATGTTCAGCACCGTCAGAAATGACAAACAACACTTTACATTGTGACATTGGGAATCCATTGCCCCGAGATAAATATGTTAGTTACATTCATAACTATTAGCTATATTTTATACTTTCTAAGTTTTGAATAGAAGTATAATATAAATTTAACTATTTAGTTAAATGATTCGCTATTTATTAATTATATATTTTATAGGTACAATTTAAAGTTGTTTTGGAACCATATCAAACTACTGAAACTAAGGCCAAATACGAATTCAACATGGTGGTGAACAGTACAAATCCTGAACGTTTTGATTCCGTGTCAGATAACACGAAATACTTAGGAGTACCTCTTTGGGCCGAAACCGATTTGATCATTGTAGGATCGTCAAAACCCGTGGACGTACATTATAACATTACGATGGAAGAATCACTCAACATTACCGATGAAAAGCAGATCGGCCCGCAGGTTATTCACATATACGGGATTCGAAATAAGGGTCCTTCAGATATATTAGAAGCCGAAGCTTACATTGACTGGCCTATGTTCACATTGGCAGGTAAATACATTTTAATTCAACTCTAGATTGATCGAGTATAAATATATATACAAAATATGAACTTAAACATACATTTGTTAACAATGTTTTTAAATAATGTTTGAGTTAATTTTTAGTGTTTAATTGGTAAAACAAAACAAAATAATTTAGTTTAATTGAAATGTTTTACCATAGGAGAACCACTGTTATACTTACTTGAAATGCCCGAAACAAATGGACAGGTAAAATGTGAAGCTATTGAAGAAATTAATCCACTAAGGTTAAATGTAAGTATTGGTTGGATGAGGGTGTAAACAAGTATTAATTTGTCAATATTAATACTTTTGTATACCTAATATGTTTGTAGATCGATCGTAAGAGGAAGTCGTATTTTGAATCAAGTGGTTTGTTTTCAAGCAGTTCAGGTCAATCCGTTACTGTTAAGGGTACAGAAGGCACTAGTTCAAGTTCTTCGAGTGCGGTCGTCAAGACTTTTGCGGAACTGACGGAAGAGGAAAAAAAACGTTTCATGGAAATCCAAAAGAAAGACGAAGAAGAACCAAAATCTCTATGGGGCGACGGTTCATACGAACAAAAAATTCGATACCAAAACTCCAAAACGCAATCGACCGGAACGGTGGTGACCGGCGGAGCGAGTCATGGTCGCAACGAGGGTTCCGGTGCCACGGTCGTTACTGACGTCAACCGAGGGCCAAAATTCACGGTCGGATCGTCGGAGAGCGGCGGAGGTGTTGTCCACAGCGAAAATTCGGGTTCAAAGTCGACGAGCGTGGTGACGGGCGGCCAACGCGTCAACGAAGCGTCGGGCACCTCGGCGGTAACCAACACGAACCGAGGGCCGACGTTCACCGTAGAGTCATCTGAAAGCGGTGGCGGTGTAGTGCGCAACGAGTACGAGTCAAGATCGTCGTCGGGTTCCACTTCGGTTTCCGCCAGCGGTGCGTCTAGCGCTCAGGGCAACCGTTGGTCCGAGGCTGGCGGAGTGGAGAGCAACTCGCACGGTGTTGGTGCATCGTCCCGCGGTGTGTATGGCGCCGCACACTTTGACGAGTCCGAATCTTCGTCGGGTAGTTCGACTTTCCGGATGGGTGCGTCGTCGTCCGGGGGTACCACGCGATTCGAGACCGCGATCACAGGTTCTCGTGAGGCAGGATTGTCCGAAAACAAAGCTGGATCGGAATTCTATGGTCAGTCGCCCGTGACCGTCGTACAGAGTGGATCAGAAGTACGCGGTGGTTCCGAAGTAAGAGGTGGATCGGAAGTACGAGGTGGGTCGGAAGTACGAGGTGGGTCGGAAGTAAGAGGGGAATCGGAAGTACGTGGTGGATCGGAAGTGCGCGGTGGATCAGAAGTACGCGGTGGATGGTCGTCCGGCGGTCAATCATCGATGACTTCGCAAGGCGTAGGATTCGGAGGAGTTAACAGTTGGGAAACGTCCAGGACGGCGGCCGAATCGCGAGGGGAAAAATGGTCGCGTGACAACGGGATCGGCACACAATGGAATCAGGGTGCTGGTGGTTGGAACCATGGTGTCAAGAACTTCACGAGTTTCCAGGAATCGGAAAAGAGCCACGTGGCCAACACGACGTGGGACGACGCTGCAGGTGGTGGCGTGCCGAAGACGTACGTGACGGACCGATGGCGAACCAATAACGACGGAGTGGTACGTAACGGCAGCACGTCGCATGTATTAGATGGTGATGCGTTGGACTACCGGGACGCAGCGGTGCGCAGGATGAACGTGGCTGCAGGAACGGGCGGCGTGACCAACGTCATAGGTGGCACCACAGGAGATGACAGCGACCTATCGGTCAGCTTGACTGGCGCCGCAGCGGTCACGGAAAGGCATAACCAGGGATTCAGGCAGTCCAAAGTGGACGAATCGGAAACGGTGCACAGGTGGCGGACGGTCGACGGAAAGCTGTACCGCGCTAACGCGGAGGGTAACTGGGATACGTTGCATATGACTTCCGACGGTAGCGGTTCGACGGACGTGTATGAGGCACAGGACCTAATTCCGCAGAACTACGTCAAGCCGGCCGACGTCGATGGCAAGTTTAAGCTGTACACCCGTTTCCGGAGAGACACTCAGACCAAACGGTGCGGGCCTACGAGGTGTGTGACCGTCAAGTGTAAGATCGGGCCGCTATCAAAAGACCAAGAGGTGTGGCTGTCATTCAGGTCCAGAGCTTGGGTCAGCACTTTGAAAAAGGTATTTATTTATAAACATTAAGAAAGTCCTTTTCTAAAATCAAAACTATGCTACCTAAAGTCCTAAAAGTTACAATGCAAAAGACCAAAAGTTCTATACTTCAAACTAGCTAGGTACCCATCTCACGAGTCACGAGTAATAAAATATATCTGGTTTTCGTTTTCAGGTGGCGCTCAACAGACCAGTGACACTAAGCTCCACGTTATCAGCAAAAGTCACCAAGCTCCAATACATTGGCAAGCCTGAAAGTAAACTCGCCCAGGTTAGGAGTTACGAGGTATTCACGGAGGTCATCCCCAGGGACCTGGCCGTCAAACCGGACATCATTCCGCTGTGGATCGTCGTCTTGGCTGCCGTAGCTGGGACGGCTATCCTGTTGCTGCTCGTGTATCTGCTTTACAAGGTAAATACCATCATTGGATAGTTCATATAAGCTTCAAATCAAATATAGCCCATGTATTGAGCCTTTCAAGGCCACACGTAGAGTTCATAATTTATTTTATAAAATAAAAAGCTTTCCTTCAAGCTCAACAGTATTGATGTCTCATTAGGTATAAATTTGGGACACCATTAAAATAATTTTCACCGGGTGGACCACCATTAAAGGGTTGTATGGAGCCATAAAGGCAATTCTTACAGAATTTTAAAAGAACATAAAGATGAAATTAAGTACCAGTACCGTTATTGATTATTTTGTGGTTAAAAAATTTCAACCACAAAACTGTTTTGCAAGCAAAAACATCTTTTATAATATTAACCAAGAAATTAAATATTTTCTTACCAGAATGACAATACTCATTTTTTTTATTACAATGAACAAATCATATTATGTTTATCACATACAAACATGATTTAATATCTGTAGTAGTACTAGCCAATAATTTTAATTTACAAGAATTATTTCATAAATATTAAACCAATTCAATACCGTAAAAAATAATTATTATACTAATATATATGTATTGCCATAATATAATCAGAATACTCAATAATTTATGATAAATTTTTTGTGACTTTATTTTAATAAAAATATATACTGATATTAGTAAGACTTTATTAAATTCATTACAAGTAAAATGTCATAGATTATGATTTTTGATTTGTTTGTAATATTTTTATAAAAAAGTTTACAAGTAAAACATGTAAAAAATGCATACATTTTAATAACTGATTTTTTTCGTTTTTGGTAGTGTGGATTCTTCAAACGCAATCGGCCATCTAATGCACCAGAAAAACAACCATTGACACACAGAAATGGACAGGCCGAGCTTTATCAAACAGGAGACGAAGCTTTGTAGGAATATTCAACTTTGTTCTGCTAAAACAATTTTTTTTTAATAAATATGATTGGAACTTAAATAAATTGCCACATTAAACCACCTAACTGATATTAATTTGTTATAATTTATTTTGTAAATATTTAAAAATAACTATTATATATTATGTTTTTTGTAAATAGTATATATACAATTGTTTTATTTTCTTACATTTTGAAATAATAATGTAAATGTTAGTCTTGTTGTAAATTAAATTATTATATGAATGTATTAATTAATTAACTGTACTTAAACCTTGATAGTAATTATTTTTATAAAAAAATTAAATATATTGTTTTAAAATTATAACGCTCTAGTCTAAAAAAAAAAAAATTGTAAATTGAGTTGCATTTTTATTCTTTACAAAATTAACATTCAGTTGTAAAATTAAAGTTTTTAAATATGACTTAATAAGATATCAATAATTTATGCTTGTGAAATTAAAACAAATATCAATATTCAATTTACTTATTTTAATAATGACTGATAATTTTTGGTTTATTTTTAATTGAAAAATAAATTATAAAATGTAAATAATAAATGTTTTCTTTTTTTTTTTTTCATATAAATATTAATTTTTCAACTAAAGGAGTTGAATGCAATTTTATCATTGTTAGGGAGCCATCACAGTAGACAAAAGTTGACTGTACAAAGATGTTATCATATTTTCTTATTAGAAAATTCAAAATTATATAATTCAAATTAGATTTTTAGGTTTGAGTTATTGTTACGGACAGTAATAATTACAAAAGCCAGTTGATTATACCTCATATTTAAAACTATCAAATTGATTAGAAACTGTTGCCAATACATCAAATTATTCTTGAGATACACGACACAATGCTGTTTTAATATCAGGCAATTTGTACGAAAAATTTAAGTTGTTTAATTTGGTTGGTTCGACCGCTTGTCCTTCTAAAACCATTTTTGCTCGCTCAGTTCCAAATATTAACTTGAAAATAAATCCAGGAACTTTTAATACAAAACTATGACCAAAGACTTCAACAAAACTTTTAGCAAAATAATGATGGGTAACTATCTGAAAAATAATAAAATTTACTATAACATTTCAAATTTAGAAAAAAATTAAACATTACTTCAGGTGCAACTCCATTGACAATACCCTCTACACTTTTGTTTTCAATAGCAAACAACACTAAACGACAGACATCATCTATGTGTATCCAAGGTAAGAATTGAGAACCATTACCCATACATATTCCAAAACCAAAACGAAAGAATGGATAAAGTTGACTTATAAATCCACCTTGTCGGCCAAATACAACCCCTATAAATCATACATAAAATTCAAACATGTATTGGTAGAATAAAAAATTAATAAAATATAATTTTTTTTACCTAATCTTATTATTACTGAGCGTACGTCGTCTGATTTTGGTATGGCACTTTTTTCAATACCAATTGCTAATTTCGATAAGTAATCAAATTCTTTAACGTCGTAGCTCTCTGTATATGGTTTACACTTATCTGTATTGGGTGGATATATTCCTAATAATTAAATCAAAAGGTATGCATTTATAACAATTGATTGTGTAACTACCAACAAACAATTTTAATTAAATAAAATAACTATATATCCTTTGATCTGTATAAAAATGATCATTATAACACTTTGAAAAATAATATAAATATTTCATATATGTATATAATATTAACATGTCTGCTATGATCATATTTGTATATTATAATAAATTAATCTTGTGGAGTATAAAAAAGAATTTTTAAAAATTTGAAAACAACTATATTGATGTCAAACTGAGTACTCAAACTGTGTACACATGAGATACATAATTAATAATTATTGCCTATACTAAAGCTTTGTAATGCTTACAAATACTAACAGTTTAATTTTAATATTGACTATGTTATAGTGTATTCAATAACATACATGATTCTTTTATAGGTCAACTTGTATAATATGCTAACTAATTAACACTTTCACTGCTCCAGGTTAGGCTCCAGACGTACTATTACGTCCCTGTATTTTATAATATTCTCGTTTTCCGGTAACAGTTTAAGTTTTGGAAACCATGGTACGCTATATTTGAAACTTAAATAATTAGATCATATAGATCTCAAAATTAAAATCTTTAAAATAATTTTTAAAAAAACAATAGTAATTTTATCCCTAATTTTATTTTATTTAGCATACACCAGTTGTAGTGGAAAAATAGTGTGGCAGTAAAAGGGTTATAAAACATAAATTTGCGTCAGTGACAACCCTAGGTTGTTGTGATTTCAAATATCTAGTTATTTATAATTTTAGTTTTAAGACTTCATTATTATTTTTTTCCTTATTTTACATTCTGATTATACTATAATATTAAATTACAAGATGTACATTTATAATTTATTTTGGTATTTATTTTTAGTGATGTGTTAGAAGTTATAAACATACTTAGTACAACACTCATCCAAAATGGCTACACTAGGGGAGGCCGAAATTATTGTTAATAGTTTCATTAAGTCATTTCAAAATATGAGAGAGATAAGGTATTTTCAGAATTAAATTTTAATATGATAAAGTACTTTACTAAAAAAATTAAATATTTTTTCCTAATATTGGTATTGTGAATATAATAATTATAATATAATCTAAATATTGGCAATATTTAATATAGAGGAGTGAAAGATTTATAATTCTAGCACCCCCAAAAACTTAATGCTAGTTGGTGCACTGATTATCATCAACCTTAGCAAACATGTTAATTAAAATTTTAAATGTATTTGTAAGTAAAATTATCAAATTAATTGTAACACACCCACTCCAGAAAACGATACAAATAATTTTGGCTTTTGTGTATTCATGTTATTGATTGCATCCACAAGGCATTGATTAGTCAATACTCTACTATCCCATACAGATTTTTTAAACTTGCTGGTCCAAAATCGTGTAGGTTCAAGAATTGGTTCACCAGCTGCATTAATAACAGCTACTGTATCAAGTGGAATTTCATTTTTTTTTACTTGATCCTATAGTAAAAAAAATTAAAATCATAATTATTTAAAATCTCCAGGTTATTGTTTTTAAATTGATTTGGTACTTACCCAGCTTATAACAGAATCAAATTTAGTAAACCCATTGGTTTTTCTAGATATGATAGTAACATCATAATTTTGGTCCTTGAGATATTGTTTCAAACATTTTCCAACAAATCCTGTTCCACCTCCTGAAAAATAAATAAATAAAAGCAATGAGAAGTAAACCAACCACCATTAAGAGAATGTTGTGTTCATATGTATCTTTGTCTTACAAGTTACAAAGGTACAACACAGCAAATATGCGTTCAGCAGAATTTGTTTTGTGTTATTAGTTATTATATAGTTATTTTAAAACTATTTCAATATTGTATTCAAAACAATCATGAACATTTGCAACGATTGTCAACATCAACCTCTTAATAACAACAAATGGATAACTTAAATTTTAGGTCGCACACTCGCACAATATAATAATTTACTTTTTTGACCTTGGTATAAACAAGACAAAAAATATAAATAAATGAAACAACATTAATTACATACCGATTAACACTCTCCCTTTACTTGTCATCGAATAATTTCGGCTCATAGAAATCATGATCAGCAAGTCTTGTTTACGAGTGAATAATAATCGTTATTTTATACTTAGGAGTAGTATTAAACAATTTTAAAAGTCAGTGGCAAAAACAAAATTGCAAATCGTCTCGTAATTCGTACAATTGTATAATAATTGTAATTACTACTTTTTATATAAATATAATATGCCTATACTCATTACTCTTTATTACGATCGTTGGTACATAATACATAATTAAATTACAAAATAATTAAATTTTTGAACTCAAAATTCAAACATCAGTAAAATATTAAAATACTTTTATATATTATCAATAATCAATGGATAATGGATATCAGAAATCAGAATATCCTCCATAGAGACATAAACAGCTGATATAATATCTTAAATCGTGAACATAACAAACGACCGGCATGTATTACCACGGACTAAGATATAATGGACTGGAAACGAGCAGCTTATCAGTGGCCTCGAAAGTATGTACAAGAAGCAAATGCGGGGGGTCGCAACCATAATCGAGAGTTTACAGCGCCCTCTGTATAAAACATGGACTGAGATACAAAATGTGACGCAAAATAAAACCACTGGTAGCGCTGAAAACATTCGATTATGAGTGTTGATGATAACAGAGACACCTTTTGCGGGCCGTCCCCCGTCACCCGCCCACCTTGTCGTTTCCAGTCCGGACGAGGGCCGTTCTCCGACAAATGATAACAACCAATTTTTACTCCGACAGTCAGAGTGACCAACTGTAAAAACAAAATATCAAAACTCATTTTCGTAAAACTTTAAATCGGCGGTTTAACCTTAATTTATACTACATTGTATAATACGGCCGGAAAACTGCTTATAGTGTTCTAAAAAAACCATATGTACAAATAACAAAGCTGAAAGTACTAACAAGTTACAAGTTACTAGTGTTAACTTCTGAAGTTTTTTTCTACGGTAACTGGTAAGGTATTATAATTTATAATGTTAACTTCTGAAGTTTTTTTCTACGGTTTGTAAATTGTTTTACAACACATAATCATCGTAAAACACAACTTATAAAACGTGTTATTCAATAAATATTGAAAAATGTAATATTATAAAATAAATAATTCAATTGTCCAAAAATGTAAATATTATAAATAGTTGATTCAATTGTTAAAAAGTGTAAAGCATTAATAATAAAATAAAATTTTCATAAAATGTTAATATTATGCTTAATGTTAATAATAATAATTATAATAATAGGTAATACAAATGTTTTAAATTATGCTTATTGACAATAAAACACACATAATCATTGTAAAACCAATAAATTCATCGCTACTCGATGAATCTAAAATACAACTTATAAAACGTGTTATTCAATAAATATTGAAAAATGTAATAATATAAAATAAAAAATTAAATTGTCCAAAAATGTAAATATTATAAATAGTTGATTAAATTGTTAAAAAATGTAAGCATTAATAATAAAATAAAATTGTCATAAAATGTAAATATGCTTAATGTTAAAAATAATAATTATAATAATTTATTAGGTGAATTATGGCTGTGGGCCAACTTGCCCATGAAGATAACCGTCCATCATATGGCCTGCTCTTTGAAGGAACATTAAGAGGTTCCCATCCTCATTTAATATATTAATATAATCCCTTATTCTACGCGTTGCGTCTGCTCTGTCTACTCTAGACTTATGGTTTCTAACCTTAACATTTAAAAATAACAAAAAAACCATAAATATACAGGTAGGTATAAATAAATAAAATGAAATCATTCATTTACTGTAAGGTTTCTTCGAACTTGGTCCATTTCAATATAAAACTGATTTTCAATCAGCAACAGTTTTTCTAGAATAAAAATAAAATATTTGATTGCCTACTTATTATTATTTAACATATTTTAACCAACCACCTTGAATCATAACATTTAATTCACAGCACTAAACAAATAAATACAAATCCATAGGTTAGGTAGATAGTTAGATTAGACTTCCAATTTCCGAACAAATATTATTTTACAAAATTGATTTTACGCAAAAAATCCCAAATATTTGGATGTTTTCCCATTTGGTTTAGCAGTGTTGCATGAAATGACTCCAAATAATTGTTGGTGCGGACATCAGAACTAAAAAGTGTATGTATTTAAAAACTCTTTAGTAGTTTATTTCTATTTTTTTTTTTTTTTTGTTTTATATAAAATTCTCATACCCGTAGACACTTATAGATGCAGCGCCAATTTGTATTAGCCAAAAATCTTGAACATAACCAAAGAGAAAAATCTGATTTGATTTCAAAATTGATGTACAATTTTGTAGTCTATTAATGTATTAAATGTAGAAAAAGATAAGATAGATAATATTTTACTAAAGCTTATACCCTTTATTGTAAAGGTCATTGAGAAGTAATATATTGTATAATATCTATAAAGCTATTTTATAGGATATTCAGGTAGATCCTAATATCTGTTAAAGATTATATAATTGTATTGGGTATTCTTGCCATATTACCTCATGCTTTAAGGGGATTCCACCCGGTGATTTTCTATTTTTGTCTAACACACGCGTGACATAGTACAGAAAATCACGGTATGGAATCCCCTTAATATTTAATAAGATAAAATTTTGATTAAAAGATCATTGATATCTTTACTGTAATTGTCCATATTATGTACACGGCTATGTGAGAGATATTTTAATGTGTTTTTTTATTATACAAATAAACTTGGGCAAGATAACAACATTCTTAAATTTATGATTTAAATTCACAAGTCTTTTATATCTTTAAATGTTGAAAATTTGAATTTGAATTAATATGTATCAGAAAAAACATTGAAATAGAAGTATGTTTATTCATTTAAACTTCAAAATGTATTATACTTTTTTAAATACTTTTTACTTTGAAGTGTTTAAATGGTGTTTTAAATACTTTTTTTTTATTCCTTTAATTTTAATTTTATTATAATATTATATAAATCATTATTAATTTATGGACAATTCAATATCGGTCTTGTTTTTTGTCTATTTATAGCTTAATTAAATTTTTTTTCTCCAGAATACAGTTTACCATCGATGAAACGGTACCAATTTAAAATATATTATAGCCGTTCAGCAAAAGCTATACTCATTATTCACATTTTTATTGGCTGTAAAATATACTGTGTGATTACTGATTACTAGCTTTGCTAAACGAAAATATAAAATTTATAATTAATATACCTTAATACCTAGAATTAATTTGGGTGGTATTTTAAATATTTTATTTTTATAAGTATTTCTTACAACACTGGAAACTAGTTAGTTCATTTTCTAATCAACTTAACTTTCCTAGGTAAATAATACATTGTATATTAATTTATCAATCTTGTATTTCATTAACTTGGCCACCTTTGGGCCATAATTCCTAAGCATTCATTTTTTTTAATTGCAACATGATAAATAATTTAATATGTTTTTCTAGCCCTGTTTGAATGTTAATGAGCGGTGTGACAATATGCTTAGTGTTAGCATGACCAAAATCTGCAACATTAAGCTACTACTTAATACTTTTAAAGTCCCAAGTATTACCAAGTATTTTAACTGGACAACACTCGTATATACAGTATATGGACTAAACTAAATTAATTTAAATATTCATGGATCTCGTCGTCATCGTCATAAAAATGTATTTCGTTTTCATTATGCATTATACATTTTTATATTGCCAAGTTACTTTACTTTTAATGTAATTTGATAACGATTAAATTTCCATTTTTATAAAAATACCAGAGCTTAATAATAATTTGGTATGTTCATGTTGTAATATATTTTGTTCAATAATAGTCCGATACTTCGACAAGTACGGTAGTATGTTTGGTACAACATTTCCCTAATATCAATTTAATTCAAATTATGTTGGTATTGGACAATATTTGAGGTTACATTATGTTATCAAATTTATGTTTGTCGGAGAACGACCCCCATCTCTTTCCAGTCCATTATATCTTAGTCCGTGGTATTACAGAGCTGCCAACTTACCCTGAACACCGTGATGTTTGGATAAAATGTTCGAAAGATTCTTTCCTTTTTTCCTTCCAGGTCTTCCTTCCAGGTCCACGTTTCATTATGTTATAACCTTAAATCATAGTATATCATGTTGGCGGCACTGCGTCCGCGAGAAATTTTTCGGGCTCGTTCCACGGGCCACGGCGTCATCATCATATATTCATATCGTTCACAAACAAATTTGTTCCTGAATCAAGCAGAACTCGCCGTTCCGCTCCGAATTTTCTCGTCTTTGGTAAGTATCTAGATGTTTAAATATTTTATTTTATAATATTTCCCGACTTTATTTTCTATTAACGTTAACCATTGCTCGTTTAATATATTTATTATAATTCATTTTACCCATTTCTCTTAAGCAACTTAATTTTTCTCGATAATCGATTTTTATGTAGGTTATTACTTACTGCATGTAGGCCTTCACACGTGGTAGTGTACTTCGATTGTTTCTTAATGTCTCGCTTTGTTTTGTTTATAGATTTGTCGTTAGCCCGACTATGAGGGCTAAGTGGCGTAAGAAGCGTATGCGTAGGTTGAAGCGTAAGAGGAGGAAGATGCGTGCAAGGTCCAAGTAAACCTCGTGGCCTGCTCCCCGACATATTGTCTTGTTTTGGTAAACATAAAACGATATTGTAACTTTTATATTGAATCATCTGAACAGTAATAAACACAATTCACCGAATAAACCAATTGTTTTTTTTTCTAATTATTAACAACTTCAAAAAAAAAAATGTTTAGGAAATTTCTAGGTTAGGTCACCTGGTGACATTTTTATAATAATCGAATAAATTGTAATTATCATTAAAAATCGGCTTTGTTCAGGGTTTTTAGTAATGTTAAAAATAAAGCATGTTTTTAATTCAAGTTACAATAATTTGTTAACAATACATATACTTTTCACTGCAGTTAAATGTTACGTACCTACTTAAGATATTAGCCGATTTTTCATGAAATTCTTTATTAATGTGGATATGACAACACCAAATTTTGATCCAAATATATTTTATATAACATTAAGTAATATATACTATTATAGGACTAAAACAACAAAATTATAAATCGTAGTTAAAAATGTATAAGACTGTCCAATGTGTTTTTCACACTACCTATGTATTCTAGTTTGTATGTGATGATTTAATCAACACATGGACATTTTGAATAAACCATGCTTTTAAAATTATTCTTTAAGTTGTGTTGAATAGACCACATTATTCATTTATTTCAAATGGTAAATTTGATGTTCTAGGGCTGGATTTATTTGAGATGTAAATTTGGTTGTCACATTTCTATTCGCCTGTGTATATTTTACTTAAAATAAAAAGTGGCTTATGGTATATTTGAAGAAAAGTAGCATGAAAGGCTCAATCTAACTGTAGAATCATGCTCTCTTTTATTCATCTCGTGAAATTATCCAATGACAAAATATTAAATTTGTTGTATACTTTTATTGCATATCAAACAACTCCAATGATTTGTGTTGTGCAATGACTACAATTTATATACAAAGGTACTACACCATAAAATTCTAATAAAATAGTGGTTACAAGGCAAGCGTAGTGAAGACAAATCTTTTTATTGATTTATTTTATTAATGGACTACAGAATTTCGATTAATGTACACTTGAAGAGTTTTTATATTAGATTATGATCTGTTAAGCACATGGTAAGTACTTTTTAAATAATACCTATATATTTTTTTTTTTTCATTGACCTAATAAATTTTTTAAAGCATCTGTGATTTCACAATATTGAAATTTAAATCCGCAGTTCAAAGTTCTTGTTGGTGATACTTTTCTTCCTTCCAAAATTAATTTTGTTCTTTCTTCTCCAAATGCTGTCTTTAATAACATTCTTGGTATACTTAACATCACTGGTGATTTTTTTAGCATGTGTGTGTAAATAGTAGTTATTTCTCCGTTAGTTATCTCCTAGAATAGGTAGATTAATAATAAAGTTAAACCAATTACAACCCACCTAGTTCATCTTGGTACTGCAATTTTTTACCATAAATCTCTTTTAGAAGTGTTTTCAGATAAAGTGTACCTCTAAGGGCCGGTAGTTGCACTGTCTATAGTTACACTTCTATTACGATAAATCAGCTCAACAGATTTTATAACCGGGCAAATTCTGCCAATTTAACTTAAATTGGAGATTTTACAACTTGGCCTTAGTACCCAAGTTTTTGAATCACTATTTATTTGAAATTACTGCAAGCCAAGATTGAACAGATGGGTTTTACTAATTTGTTTTCATTGCCTTATTATATTAAGAAAAGATGGGGAAACTGCTACTTTTGTCCATTTGGATATTTATCTCTGTTTTTTTTCATTGACAATTTAAATTATAATTGGTACAAAAATTGAATTCTATAATTGAAAGATTAGTATATTTTATGTGTATCATCTTAATAAGTAGTATTAATTACCTGTGGTGATACACCGTTCAATATTCCACTTATTTCTTCATTCTCTATTGAAAATAGTATAAGATTCAATAAGTCACAGATGTGTATCCAAGGCTGTTGCTGACATCCGTCTCCTATCTTAGCCCCTAAACCTATAGCAGCGGGATATTTCAAACGTTTGAGAAATCCACCATTGTCACCAAGCACGGTTCCTAATTAATACAAAATTATAGTGAATAAATTCAATAGGTTTAAACTAACATGATACTAATACTAAGTAGTATATATATTATCAACGATGGTACGAAGCATTTTGCATTGAATTATATATTATAATACTTAAATAGTTGCTCTGCATCATATCACAATTACATTAGTGCAGTACACACCTGTTCTAATTGAAACCTTACGATAGGGAAAATACTTTGAAGCTTGCTCCCAATCTGTTCCTAATCTAGTGAAGAAATTACAGTCTACCATCTGGTCTGTAGGAATAAATTGTTCAGTGTGGAGTTCTCCATCTGATGGATATATATCTATTGTTTGCAAATTTTAATTTTAATAATTTTAGTAAATAATAGTAAAGATCCTCAGACCACAGTACCAGTACTAGTGATTGTAATAAACACATTAGGTTTGCATTTGGCAGAACTTATGATATCGGTAAGTAACGCTGTAGAACCGACTCTACTAATCCAAATTTTTTTTTTAAAGTTATTTCCAAAACCTTTGAAAGGAACCATTATGGGCTCACCAGACAAGTTTACCACAGCTGTTACATCATCGGGAATACCATAGATAATTAAATCGGCCTACACAATACATATACTTTATAGAAAAATATAGTTTGAAACTAGGAAATAATATAATATTACCCAATTTATAATATGTTTCTCTCCAGTCTTAATTCTAGATATTGTTGTTACTTTGTAGTTTTCTCTCAACAGAAATTCTTTCAAGTTTCTGCCAATAAATCCAGTTCCTCCGCCTATACATTAATTTAAAACATTATTATAATAGAAAGATTTTTTTCACGAATATTTTACCGATTAGCACATGACCCTTGGTACTGAACAGTGCTGTTTGTAGAAATCTAAACGATGTTTTAAGTAGAACAACATTTGCTAATGGGTTTTTCATTTTATTTCAAACTGAATTATTTAACGGGTAAAAGAAATAATAGACTCCTTATTTTAAGTGAAAAATGTTAAGTTGTTACAAAACTAAAAATAATTGCAGTGTTAGTGTTAAAAAATTAAGTGATAAATGGTTTATAAAAAAAGGCAGTCAAACTAAGGAGAATATGCCATAGAATACATTAAATTTATTCCAAGTTAGTTAATACAATCATTGATTTTATTATCAAAAAATTTTTAAAAAAAATCAATGACACAGTAAATAAGGTTATTTTTCACAATTAAATTGAAATAAAGTTATATACTCCAACAGAGTATATGAGGCATGCATATAAGTTATACTTTAATCAGTTACTGTACGAGGGACGAGAGATGGACTTTAAGGGGATTATTAGGTAAAATAAAAATATACATTAAGAATGAATGGAAACAAGTTTTTAATATTCATATTATATTAATATATTCTAATTCCATAATAATCACAACCAGTTCAATTTCGTATAAACATAATCAATATTCGTCACTTGCATCAAACATAATGTTATGAGTTTATAATGCTCACATAAATGAAAAAAAAAAATATTATATTATAATCAAATGTAATTTCTATAATAATAATACTAAACATAAACAATGCGACTAATAAATATAAAGAAAACATTTGAATATGGAACAGAAAATTATTACCGTTACAGTACTAGTAGTTTAATACTTCCCAGTTATTTTAAACTGATTCATTGTATTAAAAAAAATTTCAAATCAGTGTGGTGTAACAGAAAAAAAGTTATAACCTTCGATTGTCAACTTTCATGTATTTCAAATTTCTAAAATATAAATAGTAAATATAATATATATTGCACACTTACACTTTGTTTAGTGTTGATAAAAACATATTATAGTTTTTGGTATACAAAATTATTATATTAAACAATAATAAACTTATCTATATATTATGTATAATTATAAATGTATATTTAATAAATATGGCACTATTTTTCTAACATTTATGCCCATGGTAAAAAGAAAATGTATTTTATTGTTGTTAGTATTGATGGCATTCTGCTTAGAGAATGGTTATCATGATATAATATTTTAACATAGATAAATATTTATGTTAACCGTTAATTGTTTTAATTCACAACCAATAAACAGTAATAATAGTGTTCTGTGGATAACAATAAAATACATTAGATATTATATAGTAAATATTATCTACTTATGTAAAATTCAACTATAGAGATATTATTTATTAAATATTTTAATTTTAAATATTAATCAAAAAGAAATAATAATAATTAAACAATAATTTACATAAAATAATATATAAAACAAATTGATTTCTTTGTGACCTTTGTTGAGGGTAAAATTGACTAGTCTGATTTCTTTAATTATCTAGTAAAATCTTATTGTTTCTCCTTTTAACCAATATATTCAATATATTACACAATCAAAAATAATAACAATTTGGTATTGACTAAAAACTTAAAAACAAAAAACAAATAGTTCAATGTGCGTCTTAATAATTGTACTGCACATTTAAGCAAATCTCATGTATAAAAATATATGCATTTAAAAATTAACTTTGGTTAAAAATTAACAAATTTAATTTTCTTAAAAAAAAAACATTTCTAAACTAAAACAAGTTAATAATTATAATAGAAAATATATTTTGTCAGTAAAAGATTAGTTTTCAGGGAATATTGTGTTGCAAATCAAAATTAAATAAAAATCACTGTCATCATATGATGTGATGTCAGCAATAGGAGCCGTACTGATTTAGAAATAATATTCTTGTGGAAATTCAATGATAACAAATAATAAATTAAAATATTGTGTGACATAATACATCTAGACTAAATAATAATACATTGGTTGTGTGGTGCTTGAGAAGGGATATCAACACCTGTCCGCGCTCACTTCTCTTATAGCAATTTTGGAGTTAGCCATTTCTGAACATGATTTTGCCTTATACAAACGGTTATCGGTGTTTTTCTTGCTAAACAGAATTTGTGTACACAATTTTTTTTGTAAATTCAAATACTTACTAAACAAAGAGATGCGTTTGGACGTCTGGTGTTTTTTATACTGGGGTAAAGTTGATATGGGTGCAGGGTTTTTATCAGCAGTGATACTGTCTACAGACAACTAAAATAAATACAATACATGTAAACAATTTGACTCAAAATTTCTCAGAGCAAATATTTATTAATTAATTTTCTCACCTGACAGCTTTTGTTGATGAATTCAAAATTGTCGCAGTTAGCAGTTGAACTGGGGGTGTTTACTTCAGATTCTTGGACTTCAGTGATACGATTCAAACTTTGACTCTCTCTTAATCTAGTTTCAGCTGATCTACCCCTTCGGCTTCTGACATTTGCGCTTATGCATCGTCGTCTGCCTGCAGCACTTCCACTCGGCCTTTCTGTTTTATTTTCATTATTCTCATCTCTTTTTTGGGTATCAGTGTCATGTTCTTGTGACGGCTCTGTCCCTTGTCCACCAGAATTTCCCATTCCATCGTTGTCAGGATCCTTATCATTACCCTTAAATGAAGCTAGTGACCTACTACTTCCTCGCTTTTTACGGCCATCAGTATCATCGTCACTAGTTTCAGAGCTGCTGCAGGATGCCGTACGATTTTTATGCATTTTGCTTCGTCTTTGTTCATATGTTATATAGTTGCCAATTCTATTTTGCTTATCATCAAGAAGTAGCTGCGGTGAACTGTGAGAAGACACAAAGGGTGGTGGGATTTTGTTAGATGCAACAGAAACAGATGTCGGATTTGTTTCATGTATTTCAGTGATCGAAAGTTTTTTTGTTTGTAGTTCAGAAGCTATTGTATTCAACTTTCCTTCTGACCGAGAGCCCCTTCGATTTAATGAAGTATTATCGTCATCCTCTTCCTCATCTTCCTTTTCATCTTCTTCTTCAACAACAACACTACACTTCCGTGTTCTCTGTAAAATTAACAGCCAATAAATTAAAAATAGTTCATAAATAGATGAATTAGTCTTATTACTTTAGGACGATCAGAATGCAAAGATCCTAATGTAGCAGATTTAGGTGCAACATTGACAACCACCGAATCATTCTTTTGATGTGAATTATCTTCTACTACTTTTAACTGAGAAACATTATTATCACTGAAAAAAAAAAATTTTAAAACATGAGAAAAATATTAAGAAAATATAAAACATTTACTTTTTACTAGTTTGAGATTTTTTTGGTGTTGCAGACTTTAATTTTCTTTCTGCAAGTAAATAATAAGTAGCCGTAATATGATTATACTCGTTTTTATCTAAAGCCCTGAAATATTAATTCTACATTAAATATATTTGAATATAAAGATTAAAGAAAAATTATAGGTTGCCAGCTTACTCTACAATCTGCTCTTTAGTTGCAATTTTTCCACTAATCATTTTTTGAACAATTAATGCATGGTCGTCTTCGTTAATTAATTGTTTAGACACCAACGGACTCTCGTCATCATTTATCACTTTGACATCTTTCAACCAAACATCTGCAGCGATCTCATCAAGATTAGCTCGTTTCTCAGGATTTCGCACAAGCATGCGACTAATGAGTGTTTTACATTCTTCAGACACGTGACTGGACACTTTATACTTACAGTCCATAATCATTGTTAAAGTTTCACTGTCATTAGCTGAATGAAATGGTGCTTCACCACATACCAACATGTACAAAATTACACCCAACGACCAGATATCTACAACACAATATATTATATAGAAAATATTAATATTAAATATTAATTGTACAACTTATAGTTAGAGCATGGACTTTTATGCAATTGTATATTTTTTAATTTTCACATTTTTCTCAGTTATCTTTATGAATCATAATAGTTTGATACTTATGGAAGATTTTTTTTTCATATTGCAGCATATTTAATAGTTACTTTACATTAAAGCGAAAATTTAAAAAAGATTATAATCTTTAGTCAAGTAGAAAATTTAAAAATTATATTTTGTAGGCACTAAATACTAAATAGTAATTGAAATAAAGATAAGTTTATTAGGTAGATACCTAATTATAAGTTGTTTAATTTGTTTTAAATTATTTGAAATTCACCTCAATTTATGAACTAATAATAATAATTAAAATTGTGCACTTTTTTACTATACTAAAAAAAATGTTTTTTCTTGGATATTCGTTGTATATTTTCACGATTTTGACTGTATATTATTTGTATTTTGCTACTTTAATGCATACAAATCTGTACTCTACTTATAGCATTGATTGAGTATCATAATAATAGCCAATTAACATATTCACAATTATTATATTTGATAGAATAAATAACTGAGTACATGATTATACATTTCTAAATAGGTATATTTCAAATCAACATGATGACTGGGTTATAAATATAATACAATTATCTAGTAATTTAAGTGATTTGATTAAATTAAATAAAATAAAAATATTTCATATCCGAGATTGTAAAAGTAAAAATAAATAAATCATTATTTTAATTAATAAATCAAATATTCAGATACATACTGAAACATTAATAATGCTTAATTGTACATAGATTCAATAAAATATTCAGGTACATACTGAAACATTAATACATGCAAAATGTCTGTACAAAAATGTTAAGAAAATAAAATAAATATTTACTATTTTTAATTAGTAATGCTATTATAAAATGTCTTTGCATAACATTTTTAACATTTAAAGTTCTAGCTGAACAATGCAAACATTTTACAATACCTGTACCAATATTCCAATATTAAAACACATGACAATGTTTATACTGCTTTGCCACGACGCAACAACACAACGAGCTGTCTAATTCTATAAAAAGTTTAAATACCATGTTGAGCACAACGCATACACTACAAAATACGTTGCTTTGTTACTACATAGATGCTAATAACTAGTTAATTAATTAATATTTTTTTAACTTTTATCATTTAATAGTTCATTTTTCCGAGCATGTGAAATGCATGAAAAAAAAGCAAAAAGTAAGGAATTATTTTCATAAGTTTGTATAATGTATATATTATATTAAGTAATAATAAAACTATATAATTAATGTAATTTTGTACTTTTGGGACTTGGATCACGTAATAAAGGTAAGCCGTGGATGAACCTAACCATTACCAAGTTGTCCGTACTATGAACTTTATCAGTGTCATCATCTTCTTGAGTCGTTATATTAAGTAGTGTCAAACATTTCAAATTTTTTAATTTACAATTGCGATCAAATTGTAATAATACACCTTCATTTTTTTTCAAACCAAAAGGTTGGGGATAGTATACCTAATCATATCCAGTAAAGTAAATGGTTATCAATCTCAATACATGAACCTGGTAGTTATATAAAGTTTCCGAAGTTATATTTTACAGGTCCTAGAAAATTATGACCGGCAATCATAAACTAACACAATCAAGCACAATATATCTTACATAAAGGTTAATTAAATGTTTGAAATAGTTATAATATAGTATATGGATTGAACAGTCCAGAAAACGCAAAAGGGATATAGTTAAACACTAAATTAATGACTACGAAAATAGGAACAAACTAGACTACATAAGGGATATTGTCCATAATTGGTCATATCAAATTTAAATTTAGTTTTATGAAATTAAGAGAGGTAATTTGAATTTTATTTTATCTTTTTTAGGAAAAATATATCGAATAGAATTTCTTACTTTTTGCTATTATTGTTACTGTTGTTAAAACATTTTGAAATTTTGCCTTTCACCGTTTTAACTGGCATCACATCCCATTTTTAAAGCGAACATTTATTACTTTTAATTATTATAAGAGTATTTTATACAATCTATAGTCTATACCGGCGTTTCTTAAACAGTGTTCCGCGTAACCCCAGGGTTCCGCAGAGATCACTTCAAGGTTCTGCGAAACTTAAGTCCTTTTTTTTCATAATTGTAAATCAATCTCAGTGTTAAATGTTGGTGCATTTCAAAAGATGAATATCCTCAACTGTCACAAAAGGCCGTGTTGGCACTTTTACCATTTGCAACCACTTATATGTGTGAAACGGGGTTCACCACCTATGCACCAACAAAAACAAAATACCGCAACAGACTTGATGGCGAACCTAATATGACAATACAACTTTTATCAATAAAGCCCAACATTAAGAATATTTGTAATAATAAAAAGTAATTTCACTCATCCCATTAAAATTAAAATTTAGAAATCTTGTTATTGTCTGTTAATTAAAATATTGTTTTGAATTAAATACAGAATAGTGTGTACACATTATAACTAAATGCAATTATTATAATTTTTATTACAAATAATCCTTACATAAAATAACACATTAAAACTATTGAAATAAAGTTTGGGTTCTAACTGTGGAGTTATAATAACTAACTGTTGAAAGCTAAATAAAAAATCTAAAAAGCTAAAAGAAAAAAGTAAGGGTTTCACAATAAAAGTGGACATAAAAAAGGGTTCCAAGAATAAAAAGTTTAAGAAACGCTGGTCTATACATATATGGCATAATCGATATAATATGTAATGACTGATGAGAGAAGAATAAAATTGGGGTTGCATGAGCAAGAAGTCGCTCATTAGTGACACTTAAATCCCCAACATTTAAAATAAAAATCATGCAATTTCTTCTGTATGGTGGAACTAAAGATACAAGAAATCACAATAAAATAAAGCAATATTCTCACCAACAGCAGTAGCATTATATGAATTTCCAATCAAAATTTCAGGAGCTGAATAAGCCAATGAACCACATGACGTTTCCAATTGTTGACCTGGACAAAATGTATTGCTAAAACTATAATAAAATATTTTGGTTAATTACAAAATATTAAAGCAATAAATAATATTATGCTACAATTATAAAACAAACAACTCAACTTACCCAAAATCTGTAAGTTTAACAATTCCTTGTTTTTCAAAAAATACCACATTCTCAGGTTTCAAATCTCTATGAACAACATGCAATTTATGACAGTATGATATTGCTCGTACAATTTGTGCAAAATATTCACAAGCCAATTGCTCAGACAATCCGCCTTCATGTCGCATAATGTAATCATATAAATCTCCACCGTCAGCTAACTCAAGTATGAGATATAATTTACTGTGTGTATCAATCACTTCATATAATCTCACAACATTAGGATGTTGCACTAGTTTCATACATCGAACCTGTTAAAAAAATATCCTTAATATTTTTGTCTATAATGATCACCAAAATTAATCATAAATAAACACAAAAACACTTAAATCATTAACCTACTGTAGCCAATTTATTTTCTGTCACTATTTAATTAAAAATTCTAGGTATACACTAGGTTAATTGTAGGCACCTAATTATTTTTAATAATATATAAATTATTCTAATAAAATATGCATTTTTTATAGCATTCATTAAAATTAAGTTATAAATTAATTTTAAAACGAAAATTTCTAAGTATATAAAATAAATTTGTTAAGCCATATTAACAACCATCCCATTAACCATCTGTGAACATTGAAATTATATTTTAAATGTCATTAATCATTGTCATGATATATATATCATCAATTATACCTAATGCATGAGAATACTTATTACATTTAATTTTGAATTATAAGCTATTAAATTAATTATCCATAAGTAGTAAAATATTTTTATAATATTATTAAAATAAATAATTGTCATAAAGAATATTAACTTTAACTTTAAGATTACTGACTTCAATGATTGACGAATTACCTAATAATTGACACTGATAAAAATAAACTACTCTGATTGATTAAAAAATATGGTTACTATTTATAAATTATTCATTAATAATTAAATTATTATTTATTATTCGTATCATAATTATTAAAAATTAAAAGTACCTGCTTATGTAATAAAGATAGCAGTTGTAACAAGATTAAAACAATCATATCTAAAGCATTTGGTAACAATATTCACACTTAAATAAATTTTTAACTTATCTAGTATCTGCAGAAGTTAGTACAATTAACTACATAGGTACTTGTTGAAAACTTGTTAATAATATATCTAATGTTAAAACGATAAATACATAATTATAATTGCAAGAGAATATTAATTTGTTACACAATAGATACTTATAACTAGTAATTCATATTTTGTAATTCATTATCAATAAAAATATAAATTACAACAAAGAATAAAAATTATTGAAATCACTTATCTCTGAAATCAATAAAATAAGTAATAAGTAATAAAATTACTTTATATAGATATAATACTTTACTTTGAATACAAAAGAATATTGCAATGATCAAATTTTTATAATTATTGATACCTACATCAAATTTAAAATAATTAAATACTATTTAGGTATCAAAGATACAGTTGTTCTAAACATCATAGGAAGTTGATGTAGGCGATATTTCTAGTACATATATACCTAGGTATATAAAATTATAATATTTTCTGATTAACAGCACAATTATAGCAATATTTCTACAACTATGTTTAACTAATAAATAATTACTCAATAAAAATATACTAGGGTTGGTTCAAAAACAAAAATGTACCTAATTCAGTACATATACTATATATTATTATGTCAATCATTGAAGCGGTGAGCTTGACCACATCGCAATAGCGGTTAAAGTAAAATAGTGTCGTTCTACAGACATTAGGCGATAACAACATCAATAGCAATGTCTCGACAAAGCACAGTATAGGGACCATACATACGTACAAATAAACGACTGAAACAATTATACAACCCAATTCCATTGCACTCACCTCCTGGTAAAGATGATTACGAGAGACTTCTTCCAGCTTGTTCTTGTCAATCACCTTGACGGCTACCTGTTCACCAGTGAACACATGCCTGGCCATCTTAACGACGGCAAAGTGACCTTTACCGAGCGTCTGCTCCAAGTCGTACATACCAGCGATGTTGCCACCATTATGCTTGGCCGGTCTGACCGTGTCCGGTTTGCCGATCACGCCGCTACTGTGTTGCATCGTCCGCGAAATCCACAGACACACCCCGACGACCACCACAACCACCTACCTATTGGGACAGGCGGCCCCTCAACGTTTCGGACGGAAACAATGGTGATTTGTTAGGACGTCCATCGTCGTCTCGCGAACGACCCTTCTGGCATGCCACCCCTAAAGTTAGACAACGTTCTTCTTTAAGTCGGATTCACGCAGACGGTTTTCGTATCGATAGTTTTTCGTTCGTCGACACAATAATAATCACAAGACCAACGCACTGTTACGACTACCACGGTATTATTATTTATTAGAACTATAAAAGTATGAACTACAAATATTAATAATAGTCACAGGCCACAACCAGACGCCAGCAGCTAGTGGCAAGTGGCTGGTGTTCGGCCTCGGCGCTCGCTAGACCGCCGACACCGTCCGTGCAAATTTTTATGAAAATGGAATGGATACTGATAAGAAACTGGGGACTATCACATGCGCGCTCTCACGGCCACCCATGAAACAGGACCGAACCATAGAATAGATAATAATATTAAGAAGACGTCACACACTCACACCCAGAGATTTTAAATGAAAACACCATATTATTTTATTCTATAAAAATGAACATTTGGAGAGCCCGTGGCGCCCCCTAGTAGATAATAAAGAAAAATATATATATATTAGTAGGTATGCACAGCGAGTCATATTATGGTATAATAGTTTACCATTAACCATATTATTATGTCTCATGCTCACAACGCTACTAATTTTTTAATTTTTTCCCATCCAAAACTAAATTATAGACTATATTATAGTGTTCTTACTTTAAATAGTATTTTCATATAAATTATATAGATTCGAATGATATACATTTTCAACTTCAAACAATTTAAGGTAAAAATGTTTTGGCATGTAAACGAAATTGACTGAAATAGTAAAATATAATAAAATTAAAAACAAAATAAATTAACTTAAACTACTTCTTAAAATTAAAAAGAGGATAAAAAAATAAAAGTTTTAAATTAAATATTTAGATATTTATGTATGTAGGTACTATTTATTATTATGTACCTACCTACCTACTTAGTATATGTTAGTATTAATTGTTTTTAAATAATCTATAAATACTAAATAAAAGTATTTTTGTTTTAGGCAGTCAACTTATTACCACTGATAGATGATTACTGATTAAGACGTTTCAATACAAGGACTTAGGCCCGGTTAAAAAATGTTTTATAACTCAGACTAGGTCAACGTTTTCCGAAAAAATCAAAACAATTAGGCTTTTGTAAAACAAGTTAAACAACCATCAATTTATTGAAAATACGTAAACAATTTATTTTTATTAAATTGTGAAGGTTTTTTTTCAATTGTATCTATATGTAGTATTCAGTATTTGACAATTACTCATTAACATCCAATGTATTTTGTTTTGTAACTAAATATTTTTAAGACAATTTTTGAAAGTATTTCACCAATTCCTGCCTTTAAACTCTTTTGTTATTGTTTATAACGTTTATGTTGTACAATACTACAATGTACGAGCGTATATAAAAACATCTATCGATATTTCTTGAAAACAATTTCACATACCTACTCGCTTCACGTTTATTGGGTCTGTAAAACTATATAATATTATTAACGGTGTCGGTGTACATAGCCATATTAGTTATTTTAGATATAAATTATGAATAAAATAATAATAATAATAATAATAATATCATCAATATTAAACTATACATTTTTCTTTATTAATCCAAGACATAAATAATATAATAACTATAATCTAAATATTTTTTTCTACCGGACGATTCGGTAAAACCGTTGAGTAGAAACGTTGGTTTTGGACGTCAGGGAATGTCCAACTTACAGTCTACAGACATACTGCACTGAGGACGACGAGAGGACATTTTTCGGCGGACCGTCGGACCAGGACACCTGGCGCCTGGCGGCCACCAAGCCACCACCTTGAGGGTTCTCGTTGGGCCGCGACGACGGAGCTAGGTTTACTACAACAAGCGGCCGACCCAAGCCGGCAGTTCTCTCTAGGGGTGCGTTCGAATATGCAACCGGCGTCAGCGAAACCGGCCCGAGTGTTCGTTCTGGGGTCAGGCAGGCGGTTCAGACTAGATATAGCTTCCGGCTACAGATCGAGCCATCGAGGTGCGGCCCGTGCGTGCCGGACCCGGAGACAGTGACATGAGGAGGAGGAGGAACTTTCGGAGGTGACGGTGAAACTGATAGAAGGGTAAGATGGTTTGGTGGCGATGGCAGGTATGCTGAAATTGTAATTTTACGAAAATTATTAACAATTTTGACGATTTTTCGACATACTGTTATTTGGTATACTATATAATAAGTCGCAACACCCTTAGTTCATAAATACTGTATGCTTACAACTTACGTTTAATATAATATGTTGTTTTGTTGTCTGTTTGATTGGTAATTGGTAGTATAGGTAGTATTTGACTTGGAGTTTGGAATTATATATCAATATATCATTAATAATGGTCTCGGAAAAATAAACGGGCCCGAAATCCTAACGATTGTTGATTAGAACAAACAACTTTGCGTCGTTGTGTATCCGTTGTACCATGGGAAATGTTTGAATTTTTTGAGTAAACTGATTTTGATTTGAACTTCGAGTTCATTTACAAAAGAACGTCTAACCTGAAAACACCAAAAAGCAAAATGGCCACTAGTGACTTTGCTCAAGAAATCGCCTTGATAAATGAAGTTGAAGGCGTGGGATACATGGGTAATGCCAATGGAAAATGAAGAACCGCTAACGCTAGAAGTTAAAGATTTACAACAAAAACTTGATGACGACTAGGACGAAGACGCTGTACTAGGTGACATAATTTGGTTGTTTGGTGAACATGATACTGTCGAATGCACGAACGAGGTAGGCTATGGACTACAGCAGGCCGAAGACCAAGTACAGGTACAACATGAAAAGGCAGACACCATTCCATCTGTGAGAGTCGAAGAAAGGGACACTGCTATGCTGGACAGAAAGAACGCACCGGACAAAACCATCACTTTAGTACAGAGCAAAAATTCACGTGGTAGGACAAGGCGGTTATTCATCACCACGTGGAAGGGGGGGGGGGCGCGAAGCGCCTGCTGCTCTGTGGTGGACGGTGGTTGCCGACGAATGTGAAACCGGCTGTGTAGAACTCCCCCCCCCAGACGAAGACACCTGACAAGACGGTGGACGGAGTGGTACTGGAAAGAGCACTTTTCGTCCGCCTGCGGGATGTGCCGCGAAAACGTATAGAGGTGACCAGTAGCCCTATTGCTTTATGCTAGCACCTCGCGTCTTGTCTGGTGTTTTTTTTCCCATTAGGCCACTTTGAGGCTTGAGGCGATTATATATATCGAAAATTATATAAAATTATAAAAATGCAAAAATACAAAAAAATAATAAGATATAAAATAAAAAATAAAAAAAAATTCTTTTGATTAATGTACTTAAACTATAATAAATATTGTAAAATTACATATTTTGTTGAGCACACAATAAAATGGTCTATACAAAAACAAAATATTGTTTCTTCTTTTACGTATTAGAATGTATTTGTATATTTGTTTATTTCAACAGAATAATGGGCTCCATTGAACAAGCCCCTGTGAGGGCTCATGCAATAAGTAATAACTACCTACTAGCAATGTTTTTGTCCCGCATCAAATATATCAATAAAATATTATAATAATGATAGGTATTTTTGATCAGGTGAATGTAATATAATAATTAATATTTAACAGATAACCATAGATAACTTGGGACTTTTGCGTAGGTATGTTATACATTTTACTGTACGCAATGGGATTTTAAAAATTGTAATACTCATTAATTTATTATACTCTTGACCCCACAAAATAGGTAACTATAACAACTAGTTCCTACCAAGTATCAGAAAAGATACTGATGTAAAATACGATGTAAAATCAAATTTCAACCTTGGTAAAATAGTCTGAGTCCGTTAAATGTATTCGCCATTGGAACGCAGTTTTTAAATCGTTGGATTGAACTCCTGTACTTATATAGTTATGTACCTATAGTTATCCAGAGAAAAACAGTTTTTTTTCTATAGTTATAACTTCTAAGTTGTACATTTGACGCTAGACAACACATTACACATGCGTGTGTACTGTGTAGCGTCCTCTTAGATAAAATGGTATAATTATTGTAACATGCTCTATATGTACAATTGTCAGTTACTAAATTGATGAGATGTAGGTCACCAATATATTCTAATGGATAATAAATACCAATTATAAATGAATCACATGTGGTGATTGGGGGAGGAGGTATAAGTTGGTAGCCTGCTGATCATTTATTATATATTTGTTGAATATTCTTTTAATTATGACGGCAAAAACAAGTAGATATAAAAATCGTATACAAACTTTGAAAGATAAAAAACAATTTAATGTTATTGACAAATGCAGCAAAGTTCAAGATATGTTTGAAAAAATATAATACTAATTTGTATGGTTTACAAAGTTTTATTAAGAGGACGCTACACCCGCATGTCTCCGTCTTACACACGTACGACATAGACAAAACGCGTTTAGGCAGTCTGAGTATAACTCGCTCAATTTTGGTTCTAGAGTAGAAATACCTATTATGAAATTGAATTGTGATAATATTTCTAAAGGCAAGACGCTGCGGTTTTTTTAAAAAATTTAATTTTTTAAAGTCAAAGGTATTTTCAAAATGGTGAAATTTTTTCTATTTCTTAACGATATAATGAACGTTATATTGGGTATAATGGAAAAACCGCAGCGTCTTGCCCTTAGAAATATTATCACAATCCAATTTCATAATAGGCATTTTTACTCTGTAATTTATTTTTCATATTAATAATATATTGCCATATTATTCATGAAGTGGGTCTAACACCTAATCTAAATATGTAAAAAAAACACTTTTATGATGAATTATAAGCAGGGCTCAAGGCATATGTCATACAGTGGTATGCGGAGGGGTTGATCAGTAGGGTTTAAAAATAAATATTATTTTC